GTGCTCAGCGAGGCTCTGAGGAAGGGTTTCAGTTTGACTCCAGTCCCTATGGTGCTCTGCAGGGCCTGGGGGAGGGGGTGAACTCCAGTCCCCATGGTGCTCAGCGAGGCTCTGAGGAGCGGGTGCAAGTGGACTCCAGTCCCCATGGTGCTGTGAGAAGCCCTGGGGAGGGGGTGCGGGCGAACTCCAATGTCCATGGTGCTCATCAAGGCTCTGAGTAGCGGGTGCAAGTGGACTCCAGTCCCCATGGTGCTCTGCGTAGCGATGGGGAGATTGTGTGGCTGAGCTCCAGTCCCCATGGTGCCTCAGAGAGGCTCCGAGGAGGGGTTGTGTGCAATCTCCAAAGTCCACGATGCTCAGTGGGGAGGGGATACAGTCGGACTCCAACCCCCATGGTGCTCGTCCCCTCTCAAGCGCCTCTCCTTTTCCCCCCTCGCCCCCTTTGCAGGCCTGGACCACGAGCTGGCCTTTGCCAAGATCATCGTGGAGCTGCGGCGGAGGCACCCGGGCCACGTGCTGCCAGACGAGGACCTGCGCTGGGTGTTCGTCAACGCCGGCGGCTGGATGGGCTCCATGTGCCTCCTGCACGCCTCCCTCTCGGAGTACGTGCTGCTGTTTGGCACCGCTGTCGACACCAGCGGCCACTCGGGTGAGCCCCACGCAAACCTGGACCCCGAGATCGGCTACTTAGGGTTCTCTTGCCCGTATAATACACTTGAGTCCTCGATTTACAACGGTTCAGTTAGTGACCATTCAAAGTTATAGAATAGAGTAGAGCTGGAAGGGGCCTTGGAGGTCTTCTAGTCCAGCCCCCTGCTCAAGCAGGAGAACCTATACCATCTCAGACAAGTGGCTGTCCAGTCTCTTCTTAAAAAGCCTCCAGTACACTGCAAAAATTGACGGATGACCAGTTTTCACACTTAACGACCATTGTAAGCACCCCTGGAGTCATGTGATCCCCTTTTGCCACCTTCTGACAAGCAAAGTCAATGCAGAATCCAGATTCGCTTAACAACACAGTTTGATTAACTGTAGTGATTCACTTTTAACAACTGTGGCAAGAAACATCTTAAAATGCAGCAAATTCACTTAATAAATGTTTCACTTAGCAACAAATATGTTGGACCTCCCCTGTGGTCGTAAGTGGAGGATTACCTGTAATTGTATATTATTAACATATGTTGCTCAAGTATATTGTGAGAAGCAGGAGTCCCAGCTTATTTTGCATCAGTTGCGTGTTAAGATTGATAGTAGGTAATTATATTATTGGTATCACACCCTTCACTATTTTTACAAATAACTCAGCAGTGAACATATCTGATCCTAGCTTTACTCCTATTTTTGTACGACAACCTTATGAGGTGGACTGAGCTTAGAGAATGACTGGCCCAAGGTCACCCTTGGCTTTCATGCCTAAGGCAGGATTTGAACTCCCGGTCTTCTGGTTTCTAACCTGGTACCTTTACCACTAAACCCAACTGGTCTAGGATACAGGATACAGAAACGTATTCTTGTGTTCAAAGTGAAGGTCTCTGGTACGAAACCAGAAAGTCACCCTAGCTTAATAAACTTCCTAGGACAAAGCCTGTAAGCTTATTATCATTTTTGAACTGGTCATCCTCTCTATAAAATTAAATACAAACAGCTAGAACTTGGATGCCAGCCTGGTCATTAGAGCAAGACCATTGGCCAACTGCAAAATGCAATTTTCCTTTCTGGACAGTAAGCTCTCTTGGGTTGCACCCCACGTACTCTTCCAATGCTTATTTATAATTCTAGACCAGTTTGGGTTTTTTTGGCAGCTGCAGCACACGGCTGGCTCGTGTTTAAATAATTGTCCACCAGCGCTCCAAGATCTCACAGTTACTACTATTGAGCAAGGTACACCTACACTGTACCTGTGCATTTGGGTTTGTTTGTTTTTTTTGCCTAAATGTAGAACCTTCCTTTTTTTACCATTGAATTTCATTTTGTTAGATAGTGCCCAATGTTCAAGTATGTTGAGATCTTTCTGAATTTTAAGGCCATCTCCTGGCGTGTTGGCCATTCCTGCCAGCTTGGTGTCGCCTGCAGATTTGATGAGTTCCCCATCTATCCCCTCATCCAAATCATTGACGAAGATTTTGAAGAGTCCTGGGCCTAAAACAGAGCTCTGGGACACCCCGCCACATACTTCCCTCCGTGTAAACGCATTTCCATTGAGGACTACACGTTGAGTGCAGTTGGTCGGCCAGTTACAAATCCCTCTGGGGGTGATGCTGTCTAACCCACACTTTTCTCATCAAGTAGTAGATTGTGGTAATTTCTTGTAATTTCTATTGCAGTGTTTTTCAACCTTGGTAACTTTTAAGATGGGTTGACCTTTGCAATCTTAAAAGTTCACAAGGTTGACAACCGCTGGCTTATACAACGTTAGGGGCGGGCGGTGACTGCAAGAAACAAAGCAGAAACTTTTGGAAACTCTTCTCAGCTGATCCGGCCACCTTGTCTGTAACTGGGACTATAGCGTCTGGATGTTCTTTCTCCCCATGGCAGGTCGCTATTGGGCTGACATTCACGACACGGTCATCTCAGGGACCTTCCGGCAGTGGAAAGAGGGAACGACTAAAAGCGAGATTTATTACCCAGGTGAGTGGCAGATTCCTCACCTGGAGGCCTGCGCGGGAAAGGGAGACCTTAAGGTGAGGTTCCAACTGCTGCCTGTTTGCCTCCTGCAGGAGACACCATTGTCCACCGTTCCGGGGAGGTCACCTCCATTCAGTGGAGTGCTGGCACGTGGATGGTCGAGTATGGCCGAGGCTTCATCCCCTCCACCCTGACCTTTGCCCTCGCGGACACGATCTTCAGCACTCAGGACTTCCTCACCCTCTTCTACACCCTCCGGGTTTACGCCAAGGCTCTGGCCTTGGAGGCTAACACGTACTTCAGCGGCACGAGTCAGTGAGTCTCGCCCCTCCCCTCCCGCCAGCCGGCGAATGGGTCGCCCCCTTCCCTGCCTCGTGTGCTAGCGAACCTGGTGTGGCTTGCCCGGTCGGGTGCATTGCACGTGTGACAGGAAGCAAAGATGGATCCACGCCCTTCCCTGCAAATACCTGAACGTCCTGCTGAAAATAGGTGTTTCATGCTGCTCACAAGGTGACGATTCGGTCTCTCATGGAGACCGGGTCTTCGAAGTATTTTGGAGCCACGCAGAGAAAGGAAGTCCTGGGTGTTTTGTGGAAGGAGTGGTACCCACGTGCCATGGGTGTCGGTGCACAGTTGACCCAAACAATGCCATTTGCATGGTGGCATGTATCTCGTCATGGTGGCCTTTGCCAGGCGCCTTTGGGAAGAGACGTTGCATCCTCTTTGCATGCTTTGAGTAGAGACGCCTTTTCTGACGCCGTCACCAAGCTCCTCCGTTGGGTCTTTCTCTGCGTTGTTCCAAACGGGCCTCTTGATCCCCACAAAATTGATGGGCAGCTGAGAAACGACAGCAGAACTTTTTGGATTGAGCCCTTAAAAGTGTACATTTGCACTACTGTTTAAGGCAGACAAATACTTCCTGGCACTTCCTTTTCCTTCCTTCCTTCCTTCCTTCCTTCCCCACTTCAATTTCTCAGATGGAAAACGGGTAAATTGGCTGAGCAATATCTACATTCACTGGTTGGAAATCACCCATGCCAACTGGTGTTTTGGCTGGGCTTCTGGAAAGTTCTTTCCGGCAGACTGGCGTTGTTCCCTGGGATCTCTGTG